GAAATAATGTTTACCACAGCTGATTATTAAAAAAGAAACATTACTATAAGTATTGGAATAAAACAAACAGAAGATAATGATTTATTTTTCAAATAACTTTTTGTTTTTTGGAGAAATTTTTAAAATAAAAGCAAATAATTTGTTTCCAAATTTGCACAAATGGACGGATGTACTCTTTGTGACACTTCTGGGTAAGGTGGGTACAAAAAATGGGTGGATGTACAGAAATTGACACTTTATAGCTTTTCCRCGCACTGCATGTGTCATGACAAAAGGTGGCTTTTAGATGAACCACTAGAGGGACACCACTTACCACAGCAGTTTATTCCCACTTCAGGTTGAAAGTGGGTTAAAAGTTCTGATTATTAATTTACAGTTTTTTATGATTACTTAGGCACGACTTCAAAAATAAAGCCCTTTCTTTAAAAAACCCTTTCACATTGTACAATCATTCACCCAGTTAGCAGAGCACTAGAGTTTTAGCTAAATTAACCACCTTTGCAAATGTTTTRCACTATTAATCATATCAAATGCTGCCTTTATAATTTTTAATCAACAATGATGTGCGAAACCTAAAACATTTATAGCACTTATTTCAAGTATGACTGTAACTGAGGTTTGGAAAGTAAAAAACTTAATTCCCAGAGCTCTTTCTTTTAGTGTGTAAGCAGTCGTTAAAAAAAATAGTTGCTGAGACAGAATAATGGCAAAAACATTCAAATGAACGACAAAAATAACACTCAAAACAAGTATCTTATTTTCTCYATYCAGAAAATGTGGCTCTGCGTGGCAAAGCAACTCAGTCACACTGCTACAACAGTAATGGTAACAGTTTTGCAGCTGCATACAACGCTATTGATGGAAACAGAGATTCTGCCTTTTTCCATGGATCCTGCACCCACACTGAATCTATGCTCAACCCATGGTGGAGAGTCGATCTACTAGACTGTTATGTAATCGACCACATCGTCATYACCAACAGAGGAGACTGTTGTGCAGAGCAGATCAACGGAGCAGAAATTCACATTGGTAACTCTTTAGAGGACAACGGCACTGCAAACAAACTGTGAGTTTAATATTTCGCAACGTAAAATGATTGTCTACAACTGTGCCRTGAAAGATGTCAAGCAATATGTATTTCTTTGGACTTTATTTACTACAATTTTTTTTTCCTGGACATTTTTTCTTGTAAATGACTAAAACAAATTATTTGTTGTACCACCAATAAAAACAGGTCTATAGCCACAGTTTTTGTTGTTGTTCATTGTTCTTTCATTTTAGGGTTGCAACGATTTCTTCAATCCCAGCTGGTGGCTCTCAGACTATCAAATTTTCTCAYCGTGTGGAGGGACGTTTTGTGGTTGTTCTAATACCAGGTTCAGGCAGAGTYCTAACACTCTGTGAAGTGGAGGTCTATGGCTACCCAGCCCCAACTGGTGGGTCCTGATTTGATTCAGTTTTGAAATTCCCTGTTAGTATTCAATCTAACCTCATTCAAAAAAATTTTAGAGATAAATGTGCTTGTCCTATATTGTTATGCTTTTCAACCAACCAGTTGGTTAACTTTGATTACATAATAATTCTGGAAGAATTCTTTTGTCATTTCAGTAGAAAAAAGAACTGAATCAGTGACCTTTTTTATAAAAAGAGGAAAGAGGAAAGAACATAAAGGGGAAATGTAATTGGAAAGATTGAAAGAGAGATTAGAAAATATATTTAATACAGCGGGTAAAATAAGTATTGAACACRTCACCATTTTTCTCAGTAAATATATTACTAGAGGTGCTAATGACATGAAATTTTC